CCTGCAATCCATGGATGTTGCGACCAAATTTCCAACACATGGAATATATTAAACGGAATGTCACCACAAACACTTTGTCAACATGTAGAAGTTTTGGCCATGGAGTTGTCCCTTGCCCAAATCTTCTCTGTCACTTGGCTCATTGAAATCATAATTCAGTGTCAAGTCCATAGAGAAAAATCCCATGAAATGAAGCCTGGAAAGAGCTCTTTTGAGACTAGCAACGTGTAGCATCTCAGTGGTCGCAGGACTGCTACATTCCCAGTAAGATTCCTTGTTCGACCAGTTCTGCAGCCGTGGCTTGTCCTTTGCACCAGATCGCGGCCTTTACCATGGAATAATGCTGAGAAACATCGGAGCTATTGGTGCCCCATGGTGCTGCTATGAACAGCAAGCTACAGCTTGGAAAATCACAAGTAGGTTCGCGCCCTTTGGCAGTGCGATGTCGCGCATAATTTTGGTACCCACAGAAGTGTTGGTATTCGGGGCTGATGATTCATTAAATTGAAAGCTGTCAGTTTGACCTAACCGATTGATCGATCTCTTAAAATGATGTTCTCTTTCTTGGGGAATGGTGGCAGAGTTACACCTTACTTCGATTTACAGTAGTTGTTAACTCTGCTGAATTTCTTCGGCGTGAACCTTGTTGTGTTGTGGCCACGCGGCCTCAGTTGGGACCTAAATGACATCCATCAAGATGTGGCATGCTCCTCAGGTCCAAAGTCAACAAAGTCATCGGAAAGTCACGCAAAAGCTTCGACAAATGCTCGATGCAAAGCCAAGCTTCGGCCGATTCCGGGTGCTTCCGGACAGCCGGCAATAATTGAAAGAAGCGAAGGCCTGGAATATCTGGAAGCGTCAAAGGTACTTCGGTTGACACGGTGACTCAGTTGGTCCGTGGTCAGCAACGGCGGTTGGTGCTTGGTAGGTCCCAAAAGTTGGATTATAATAAGATATTGTAAGATATTGTAAGATGGTCCCATTGACAAGTCAAGACATGTCAAGACATGTTGGCCGAATTGATTCTTGCGCCAAAATTCAGATGCAATCAGATACATTCAAATGTCCGCTTGGCTGTTTATACAAAAACAATTTGCAAGTCTGGAAGGGTGTGATGCGTCAGTCACACGGCATTTTGCATCATTTTGCACCCTGTGCCTCACACTCTTCCTCTGTCATGAAACGAAGGGAACGTTCCAGTGGACAAAGGTTCTCTGGGGAGATGGCGGGACACTCATCGAAGTTGCAAATGCCACCTGCTCCAACTGTAGTGCGTGCTGAGTTCAGTATTCAACTGGATGCCATCAGGCCAATACCCATCAATACCCACTCGTCAGATCTCGTCAGTAGGCTTCTAACAGTTTACAAATGTTTAGAACCCCTGTAGCTCAGGTAACACCTCGGATTAGGACTTGGAAATTGAAGTGATAATCGTAGATAATCGCAGGACCAACTGGGACTTGGCCTTGTGTCATGTCCAGAATCGTGGCATATGCGGGGTGGAATTCTGGTGACATTTTCTGGAGCACTGGGAAAACCCTCCGTGCTGGATAAGTTCAAACTGAATTCTGGACTTGTTCGGAAACAAACAAAAAGTCGGTACCAGGGCCTCGAATGAAGTCACCCCCATTGGTGCGGCTCAAGTGGTGCTTCATGCTTTGGGTGTAGCTCTGGACTACCTGCCAGGCATGGCAGACATTTCATGTCCATGTCACTGTGTCTGTAATGATTTCGGTGGTCTAAAATCAAGCAGCAGCAAGAAATCGTGTTGCCCCTTGTACCAACGCTGTTCAGTTGTTGGATTTTGATCACCGTCCTCGCCAGTGATGATGTTCTTCCAATACCTAAGAAATGCCAAGACAAATTCTTGGCGCTCGAAATCTTCAGAATGACATCAGAACAGAGCTCCCTGAATCTCACTGGTCTAATAGTCTATTTGGTATGATCATAGCGTGATCAAATGTCAGATGTTTGTCCTGTTGAAATTCAATGGACAACTTCAGAATAAGTTCGCTCGGTTTGTGGAGATTCAGCATCTTGCGCGGTCAACAGAGCCATGGACCCATGGTCATTTCATCCAAGGTGCGGATAGTTCATTGCATCAGCACTGTTGTAGCCTGGCTACAGGTGCTGACAAGCGGATCAAGTAGCAAAAACAAAGGCATCAATCAGTGCAGTGCTTTGTGTGCTGCAAGACTTGCCAAAGCAGGCAGTTTCCAGCAGTTGTACAAGAGATACTAATGTGTTTGAACAATGAAAAATCGAAAGGCCAATCATATTCCACCCAGCAGTTCCGACATGTTTGCTGCGCCTGTGCCGGTTTGTTCCTCCCAGACACTTTGCTCAGTGAGATTCTCCAGCGGTCCAAAGTTGTTGGTGAAGTTGCCGTTCAAATCCCACGAAGCGTGGAGGGCTCAGAATCAGATGCCAGGGCCCAAGAGCTCTCGACATTAGGCACATGTTGAGATGTAAAACGTGTATATACATGATATATGTATGTATATATATACACTGGTAGGACAAAAGTTGCGCTTGTTGAGCTTCCCACAGTGAACATGGTTGGTTTCTTCTTCTGCACACCCTTTCCCCGTAGAATCCTAGCATGGAGCTTTGTCGTACCCCGGTCGCATTCCCACCCTCCAAAAGCTTTAAAATCTTATATATTTAAAAGAGGGTGATAATTGACCGTCCCACACGTGCCACACAAAACGGACTTGAAAATGTGATCCGCGGTTGACCGAAATGGATGTTTTGTAAAGCTTTCAAGAAGCATAAACTTTGTTCCTCCTGAAGGGTACAAAAAGCTTATTGAGTGGGGATTGCCAAGTCATTTGCTGATTTTTGCACCTGCTTCAGCTTGGTCATTACTCCACATAACATGTCTGTCTCCATCCTCTTTGTCTGCACTGCTACACATGTGCCGTGACGCACTGGTAGGACAAAAGTTGCGCTTGTTGAGCTTCCCACAGTGAACATGGTTGGTTTCTTCTTCTGCACACCCTTTCCCCGTAGAATCCTAGCATGGAGCTTTGTCGTACCCCGGTCGCATTTCCCACCCTCCAAAAGCTTTAAAATCTTATATATTTAAAAGAGGGTGATAATTGACCGTCCCACACCTGCCACACAAAACGGACTTGAAAATGTGATCCGCGGTTGACCGAAATGGATGTTTTGTAAAGCTTTCAAGAAGCATAAACTTTGGTCCTCCTGAAGGGTACAAAAAGCTTATTGAGTGGGGATTGCCAAGTCATTTGCTGATTTTTGC